AGCTACTAGTAACAAGTGCATCGCTACTAGTAACAAGGGCCTTACTAGTAGGAGCAAGACGGTACTAGTAACAAGTGCATCACTACTAGTAACAAGTGCCTTACTACTAGGAGCAAGAATCAAGCTTCTAGTAACACGAATATTCTAATTCTTGGTGTGGAGGACTGATGCAGCTGAATGTTACCAAACTCTGCACAAAAGGCTCTTGGTGACCAAACTCTTATACAACGTGTTTTGCAAAGCTGCGTTAACATACAGTCTAGGGACAGAAGGGAGTTAGGGTTTGGTTCTTTCATGCCCTTCAGCTTACTATGTGGAGGGCTTTGACCGTGAACACTATCCCTCTTTTAACGTGTGGCAGTTGAAGTGAGGGAGCCCCTTCAGGTACGTCCAGGATCCCCCCTGTGTCCTGCACTTCTAGAGTCTTGATTCACGGAGGATGATGCAAGTGATTGTTCAATCGACGTCATGTTGAACATGATGTTTCTCATGATGTTGCTGTCGCCCAGATGCCACTGTGCCGCTGAAGTCTTTCCTGGAAGAGCATGGGATGAAGCCGAAGGAGCGGTTCTATTGCTTGGAGGGTGTGTTCATCTTCATCGGCTTGTCAGGACCTGGAATCTGTTGAGCATGTGGAGAACATGCTGCAGAAGGCCAGACAGAAGTTGGTCAGCAACTCAGAGGGTCGGTGTGGCTGAAGCCATCCCCGGTGGGTCTATGTTTGCTGGTTGCTGACTTTGTTCTTGTTGAACCTGCTTGCCTTCCACCTCAGTCCGCAATTCCACTTTCTGGAGCTCTTTAACTGAAACTTGCACAAAGACAGCATCAAAACAAGAACACACCATGCAGCTTGTGCCTGTACCGAGCCTAGACTAGCTGAACATAATCATAATAGTGTATCTGCAGCTAATGTTTGGTGTCTCCTGCTTTTATGCTTATCTTGGCAGATTTATTGTTTGGATTGTCATCGTTTTCGAGGCACTAGTCACGCAAGCCACATCCTAGCTCCCTCAGCATCGGATTTCAGAGATCGGGACAATCTCACCGGAACTTGGGTCGCCCGAGCGCCAAAGAGCGCCATGCAGCCTGGAGAGAGCGTGGTGCCCATCCTGCACATTTGTGTGATGGGAGCCTCAGGGAGCGGCAAGACATGCACCTGGGCTGAGATTTCGCTTTGATTTCGAGTCTCAGCGGAGTTTTTAAATCAAGTCTTTGAACGACTCTTGAGGATGATTAAACCTCCTGTAATGTAACTATAAAATGACTAATTATATAGATAATGTTATATAATAAATGTACAAAAGAAGCTAGCGGTGCCTGTCGTCAAAACCGTGTCCCGAATGGATGATGCGAATTTGGATGTCACAGGCCTCATCAACTCTTGGGTCAACAGCATAGTGCCCAGTGATTCCTGGATGCAAGCATTATGGGCAACACTTGGGCCACGACACCTGAGTGCATACATTCAACATGTGTTTCAGTGCTTGGTTTGGTCCATGCTTGACTGTTTGGATGAGGGGGCGTCTTTGTATCAGACCGCGGGGGGGGGGCATTTCTTGCCTAAGCCGAGGTGTACATTCCAACCACTGAGACGTGTCTTGGCAAGGTGCAGCTGCTGAAGTCTAGAATTCTTTTCTTTGGCGCTGTGCCAGCCACCTTATGCACAGTAGCAGTGCTATTTATTTTCAATGCGAGCTTCGTGCAGAGCTAGTGAGATCAGCCCAGGTTTGTGCTCAGCAGACACGAGAGTAATTGTGGACATTGCAAATGGGTTGAACTTCAACCAAGGACCAAATACTACAGATCAATGCTGCTGCCAAATGCCCTCCACGATGGCCTCATGACTGCTGTGGGGGGAGCAGTATTTATAATTGCCGCAAACCTTTCGTCACCCATTCCAGATCCTTTATTCACCAGAGAGCAGGTTGACGGGTTCGTGATGTTCATGGCGCATGTCGGTTGAGATGTGTGCCTTTGCTCCTAATAACGTCCTTGCTCCTAGTAGCGATGCCAGGAGCCCGTAGTAGCTTTTTGTTCCTAGTAGTAAGGCCAGGAGCCCCTAGTAGCGTCCTTGCTCGGTTATTTATGGTGGACAGCAGCTTCTCAAGGCGAAGCCGTCACTACCCTCGTGGAGGTTGAGGAAGCCGCATGGCCCCAGGAGCATGAGCCGGTGGGTGGGCAGGATCTGCAGGAATTGAAAGTACACGGCTTTTGGTATTCCGTGCTTTTGAGCTTTTGCTTTATTTACTTGAGGTTGCTTGCCACTTCGAAACTTCGCACCCCGCACTCCGCGCAAGCGCAAGCGCAAGGCGAAACGCACGAATTTGAATGCAAATATATAATCACAGGAGCGAACATGCTGGATCCACATTGCCGTACGCACTAGCACTGAGCGGCATCCGAAGGCTGTTAAGACAAGACATATTAATCTCAAGCTGTGCGAGGACATCTTGACCGCGAGAGGTCGCAATATACAATGTCACACTTAGATAGACAGCTCAACGGATCGAGCCTAATTTCAGAAGCTGAGTCACGGATGCATTAGCACTTTTCTCTTGACTGCAATAGACCTTGGCTGAATCAACGGCAAGAAGTGAATGGTCGGCAGAAAAATTGGTGTGACAGCTTCAAAACGCCACAACTTGACAAGCAGGTACGTCAGTTCTGCGTCCAGAACTGATATCCTCACCATGTATTGCCAGCTTCGTTGGTGGAGAAGCAATACAGGTGTCTCTACCACCTGCTGATTGTTTAAGACTTGGAGAGGAAGTAACCCTTAGAAACAGGGTGTGGCCCACACACACACACAAAGGCGTTCACACACACACACACTGGAGATATTGTGTACTGAACTGAAAGCGGTGCCACACGCCGGCCTAGGGTTCCATTTCCTAAGAGTACAAGTATGAACCAAGGGATCCTGGAGGTCTTCAAGAGGAAGTAGGGCCCAAAAGGAAGAAGACGAGCGACGAGCCGACAAGATGACGTCGTGGCGTGCAAGTCTGCGGCTACTTAGGAATCAGGTCAGGAGGTTCTTGGCTTAGCCTCATGCCATTCAGAAAGAAAGGAAAAGCGCAGGTACGTCGGAGTGGCCAACTCCGATATCACCAGATCAAATGGGCGTCTTCGTTGGTAGCGGTCCCAAATGATCTGCCGCTACCCCCTGCGATAAACCAAATTAAAATCCAAACGGATCCCTATGACTCCAAGGGTTACACACACACACACACACGGACACACGGATATATAATACCGGTGCGAATTTCCTCTACAAAATCGATGAGGGTACAATCAAAAAAAGCAATACTTTTAGCCAAACATGTTGGTGCTATGTTAGACTTGGTATGTCAGACACTTTGATTTTATAGAGAATCAGGTAATTACAAGCCTCGATTCTATAGAGGGCAAGTCCGGGATCCCAATTCTATAGAAAATCATGGTCACCCATAAAAACCTATGTTGGTCCACCTCTGTGATTTTGGGGGGGAAACGCGCACGGGATCACAGGGGGCAGTTCTGAAGATATTCACATCTTCATTCGCTGAAATTGAGCAGAGAGTGATTGAGGTCAAATTCGTTCACCGACGTTCAGCTACGCGCAGCTTCCGGCGATGTTTTGAACTTGGCCCAAGGGATCGAAAGCAATAGAATTAGTGTGGCCAAAAGTGTGGACATATATTAGTGGGGTATTGAAGCCCAAAACAATAGATATTACAACCCAAAGCCTGCAATTCTATAGAGGCCCAATATACAGATCTTGGAATAACACTTGAGTGAGTACTGATTCTATAGAACTTGTTTCTGGACTTGTTACAAGTTTCCATCTGTTTTCAAGACTGATAGCAAGTCTATAGAGGTTCACATAGATTTCAATTTCATCAGCAGCAATTCTATAGAGGTAAAAATGCAACCTGACAATTCTGATGTCATATGCAGCGTTTTACTCACTATAAAATTGACTTGCCCAACCCACCCTTTTAATTGGCAGGGGGATGATATATACATATACACTGTAAGTTTATTCAGGTCCGTCCTCCTCAACAAACGTCCACTGCCCTGTGTCAGGACGCCGAGGGGCAACCTGTCGATGCCCAGGATTATGGCAAGAGGTTCCTTGAACGGTTTCGGCCTTGTGCTGATGTCCCGAGTATGCATTGTCGAACTCCTAGGTTTCAAGAGCAAGAGGCACGCTCTGATTCAATGATGTCCTCCTACACGCAGCCTGCTTGCTTGTAGCGGTGCTGGGCGGAAGAGAGGGAAGGAATGACATTTTGCATTTCTCTTGTTCCTTTCTGTTGCCTGTTTCATCCCAGGCACCCCATGACGGACTTCCAACCGGATGCTTTGTGCTCAGTGCGTGGACTGCTTCAGCAAGAAACGGTCCAGAGATCAACAAAACCAACCAGGAAACTTGGTTTGTGTGGGGTGATTCTAGTAGTATCTCCCAGGCTCCTGAACGATTGGCGAAGGGCCGAATGTGCAGCTTGGCTATGCTCAAGGCATTAGTTTGACAGATTCGCTTTGGGCAGATTGCCGGTCGGTGTTTTTCACCTTGTCTCTATTTCAGAGGTGTAGCACAATCTGAGGTTTCATCGTTTTGTTTGATGTCACATCTTCAGAATCCATGGAGACGGCCATCACAATCTTAAAGGACATGCGACGGCCGCGTGTGCCACCAGAATTTGAAAAAGATCCGTCACTTGAATGCGGGTGGAGGGCCTTGGCCCTGCCGAGTGTTCGATTCTGAGGAGATGAAAGAATCTTCCAGGAGTGGCTTTAGGTCTCGCGGTGACTCAGCGGAGAGTTGGCAGATTGAGCTGGCAAGGTCCGACTGCTGTCCATGTGCTCATGTGGGGTGAGCTGCATTTGTCCAGGTGGTCTCATTTGCCACAGCTGATGGGAGGTGATTCGGTCATTTTGCACACAATCCTAACCCGCTATCGTCCTGAGCCAAGGAATGAAAGTGCGATTAGTGGCGAATAAGATAGACCTGGAGACAGTTGAGAATTCAGAAGTAATCAAAGACACTTGGCACTTGGCACTTGCAGGGAATTTTCCAAAGCAATGCGAAATGCAGCCACGCCCCAATAATTGGTATGACCCGCATTTTGCCGGAAAGGGCAGGCCATGCAGGTTGTGCAAACTAAGGACAACACGACAAAAGCGTATCTCGATTGCACTGCGTATCGCGTGCTCAGTCCAAGTGTTTGCTGAGAGTCAGGTCGGAACTCTGTTGGGACACCGAGGGGCCCTGTCCTTAGTGCCATTTGCTCGAGCCGATCAAGTTCGGTAGCATTTTGATGAGCCAAGGATGGATTTCCGCGAGGTGTCAGCCCTGGAGTACCGTGGAGTTCGGGTTCCTTTCTTGCAGCTGGAAGTGTTCTTTTGGGGTGGAAGACACAATCCACAAAAAGCCCATCTTGCTGAAGGCTCAACTGCATGTTTGGAGCACATTGGAGCACTAGGTTTTCCTTGAACAGGATCATTCGGCACTCTGAATCATCTCTGGGGACTATGTGGGTGAAATGAACATGCAGAACGTGCATCAAGTTTGCCGGGCTAAGGCCCTCTTTCGGGACTTGCTGGAAGAAACCATTGCAAAGACACTCGGAACACATTGAACGCAGCGTGTGGATTGCTGTGGCAAAACACGTCTCCGGCCTTTGCAAGCTGGCCCAGCTTGCACATTGCCATCAACAGATGGCATTCTGCATTCCATTTGTTGGAAGTCCATGGAACCCGCACTTTGCTGAGAGCGTTTGCATGTCTACAACAATGCTGGAAGTGTCAATCTGAAAACATAAAGAGCACTTTGCAGCGACAGCGTTGATTTTGTTCATTGTCGGGAACACTTGGTTGATGTCATTACCACTGGCCCATTGCGCCCATAGACGGAGCAAGGACTGACCACTGGGCTACTTCTGCAATGAAGCGGCAGACCGAGGAGCAATTGTGATTCGATCATTTTGCTTACATGATGGGCATGCCTGTCTTCAAACATGTTTCGTTTGGACTTCTAGATTCTTCATTTTCTTCAATTTGAGTAACAGTTTTCAACTCTTTGGCTGCAGGACCGGAAGAAAAGGCTCCTTGGGAAGGACAATTGCCATGTCATGTGAGGGAGACAAAGCAGGGACAAGGAGCGCAATGTCCTCCAATCTCTTGCAAGCAGCCGCTGCTCAGCAGCCGTGCTTCCTGAGACCCTGTGTTTGTTTAAGGCCAATGCCAGATCTTTTAAGAATCTGGGAACCACGGGCCACGGGCAACCCCCGGAGCAGAAACCTGCTATCCGGACGGTGGATTTAGGAAGGGCAAACTCCCTTGGAGAAGGCTTGCATCATAAAACGATGGGACAGTGCGTGAGAGAGCCTGCCTTGGCATTCCATCTTGAATTCAGCGCACCCAAGTTTGGAAGATCCATTTCCCAGGCGCGCGGAGATAGCGAGTGCCCTAGATCGAAGTTGCACAGGCAATTCGGATTTCTCTGGTCCCTAAGTTTAAGACTGAGAGTAGACATTGAGGTGTAAAACAGCTCCCAGAGCTGTACTAAGTACTTTGAGAGTTAAGACCGGCAGAGTTGAGACTGGCATTCCTGAGGCTACATGACCTATGCCACACACAATGCCGAAGAATTGGCCATTTCCCAGGAGCGGCAGTACTGTGCATGTTTTGTGTCCTGAGGGCAAGAACAGGCTTTCAAGATATGTTGTTGATCTTGAGAATCTAGACTCTAGAGTCCATCTAGAGTCCTTCAACAAATCTTTGTGCTTCGTCCTTTGGAGAGGTCCTGTGGGGCTTGTTCCAAGAGAGGAAGCCTGTGGAGAAGGCTTGGGAGGTGGCCTGAGCCCCCAGGTGAACTCACGAATTTTTTTTTTTTTTTTTTAAAAAATCCAGTCACAATGCCGGGCTTAGGTCCTTCTTAGATCCTTTTCATCTTGAGGGTCTATTTCAATCATTCGGCGCTATCATTGATCCACACCCTGTTTATTGTAGTTTCTCGTGCGGGGCAGGAATGCCGCAGTGACATGTCACACCGTAGCACGCGGGTCCACAGAAGGGCCGCTACGTAGCCGAGAGTGAGATTTGAGGTTGATAACGGTACTGCCGGACACCTGGTGAATCAGAAACCTGCAGTCAAGACCCGATGAGTAGCTGAGTAGATTGGGTTACAAAAACAGCAAGACTTCATCCTTGCGCCTTTGCAGCAACAAGTTCCTGAATTTGCCTCTGTGCATGCTCCCTGGCTTTGTTTGATGAACCAATTTCCGGGCTAGCACCTGCCTTAAGCATGCTTGGGAGCTTTGCGGCATATTCTTCACATGCCACCAGCGGCAAGGGCTCAAATGCAGAAGGCAGAGAGCAGCAGTCGTACATTCTCTGGGCAATCCAAGACTCCCATGCAGAAATGAACCACTTGGGAGTAGGAGTATGGACTGAGTAGCGCTTGGCAGTTGCACCAAAAGTGTCATAAACTTATAACCTGGCCCCGTTGCCATGGGCGAAGACTTCTCGTGGGATGACATAGAAGTGGTTACTATTCAGGATCGGACAGAAGTCATTGGAAGGATGGTGACCGATGAGTCCAGTGCTAGCACTTCTGAGAGTGATGTGGAGGAGTGGCACCTGCAGATGGAGGAACTCTCTTCAAATCATGGAGACAATGATCTCCTGACCTTGGACGACCTCCCCGAGGACGGGAGTGAGCTGGAGGTCGCGCGGGCCCAGCTGGCAGCCCTGGCGCTGCGCCGCGAACGCATCCGAGAGATTGCTGCTCGCTACAGTGGGCCGGATGGTCCGGATGCCAAGAGAGCCGCGGAGGCTCCAATGCTGGGAGGCACAAAGCAGACTGAGAAGGTTTGGGCGGATGGACCGGTGAAGCCTCACATCAAAGAAGGCTCAAGCACTATTGAGAGCATCCTGCAGCGCTCACGTCGCGAAGGTCTTGGGGGTGACATGAAGAAGATTCAAGAAGGCATGGAGAGAGATCAACAACGCAGCGTAGAGCTGTGGCACAACTTTCTTTGTGATGATATGCCGGTTGGGGGAGATGTTCTGCCCAGCCCTGATGATTTCTACCGGTCAAGGTGAATTTCAAGAAGGCTCTCAATTTCTCAACGCGAGTGTGCAGAAAAGAAAGCGCTTTGGTTTGTCGGCATACCAAGAACAGATTCTTGCTTTGCTTGACCTGAGCTGCGCTTGACCTGAGGTGGTTCTCTCTGGTCCCAGCTATCGAGCCTTGCAAGCCTTGCGCGAGGACCCTCGAGAGCTGGTGGACAAGGTGTGGTATTCGGTATTAAGGTGTGTACTTTGCTTTGGTGCTAATTGTGTAAGACTAGCCGCTAGCGATGATGGGATGTTAGATAAGGACGAAACGCGCATCGTTCCAAGCTGCAAGTGACAAGCAAGGTGCGAGAGGCTAATATCTCGCCTCCGTTGCTGGCAAGCCACGCTGGGCGCCAGGCCAAGACATGGGAACAAAAGATCCAAACCTCCATGTGGATGGTTTGAGATTGAACGATTTTGATGCAAGGCAAGGCAGTTCAAGGCAGTTGTAAGTTCTCCAGCATGCCCTCCACTGTACAGAATACAATAGGAGGCGCTGAACAAGACAGCCAACTCAACAGCAGTTTGAAGATTATGCATGGCATGCAAGAGACTCATGCCACGCCGTCGCAAGGGCAATCGCGAGCATTGTATTTGGAATGTCCGCCAAATAGTCCAGAAGTGTGCATTCCTCAGAGAGCAATGACGGTTTGACCGCCAATCTCTGACACGGAGGGGGGCTATAATATATTTATATATATATATACATGAATGAATCGTAGCTGCTATAAAAAGCCTGCTAAAGCGTAATAGCGCTGGGACTTTAGCACGACCCCTTTTTGGCACCAGACACTTTGGAGATTGCCGCCAGTTGGTAGTCCAGAATGCCGGATTCCCTGCGATATGGTCTTGCTGCATGTAGGCCAGCACGATGGCACGAAGTTCACCGATCCAAGCTGGAACTTGATTGACAGCCCTGCCAATGCTGGGGGCCCAGCCAGTCAACTAAAAAAGCATCAAAACAATGGAAGTAAGAGGTCCCATATGGTGCCATTGGTGCCTTAGGCCAGTTGAGCACACTACCGGGCTCTTTAAAGTCATTTGTGGTAAGGTGCATGCCGTACTCTGCATGACAATAAGTCACCTCCATCACTGCAGGTGCTGTGGGTGGATGGTGCCAAACCAGGTGCAGACGGCCTGGCCTGGACAGAGAGAGAGAGAGAGAGCCGGGCTAAGAAGGGATAGAGCGGAACCATTATATACTGTATGCAATGCCGCCATATACCCCGACAAACTACCATTTGAGATCCGAGCCAAAGAGTCCCAAGATGTTATGTTATTTGCAATTACTTCAAAGCTTTGGACCAACCCTCATTTGTATGATTCACCGAGATTGGTTGCAGGATAAACCTAATTATCGAACCAACCAGCATAGGGGTTCAGGCTGGTTTTGCAGGCTTTTGTTGTGCTGGTGGTGCCGCTAGTTCATCCCTGAAGAATAGAAGACATTGGGGAATTGACGGAGTACCGGATTTCCAATTGAAAGCAGTTGGGACACCATCAAAAGGCAAGCAATTCGAAGTCCATTGGACAGGTTCTTCGGGTTGATCGGTCAATCGTGTGTGAGCTTCACCACAACCCATTTGGCTCGGATGACACAGAAACAACTTGATATGGGAGAAAAAGCAACTTGTCCACCCCAGAAGGCGGCAGCTGAGGGCAAAGCGCAAAGCATAGGATGTGAATTAACCTTTCATGAAAGCATATTTTAGAATGCCGACAGCGCATGCATGTAAATGCTAGGACAGTCAGCCCTGCAGCTATCTGAGATATCAACCCAACAGCAACAAGTATATACTGTATTTATATATATATATATTAATATCACGAAAGCCAGCTGGTAACAGGCAGGGCTTGAGGTTGTTGGAGCGAACGAAGAGAGTAAAGGGGGTGTGGGGGGGTTGGTCCCTATGCGGTGGGGGTTCACGTGGATTGGGGGGTTGTTGAGGGCAGGAGAGAGAAGAGAGTGCGTGATGCCACCATCTGTTGAGGGCCTGCCGGAGAACCGTACTGAAGAGGGCACGTGGGAGTTCACGTGGATTGGGGGTCAGGGCAGAAGAGAGAAGAGATTGCAGCGGGCAAGCGTTGGAGGCGGAAGGTCCTGAATAGCTTACGGGTGCCCTTTTCAGCCCAGCAACTAGACCACTCCACATGGGGTGCATGATGCCATTTGTTGAGGGCCTCGGGAGAACCGGACTGAAGAGGGCACCCCCTATGTGGTGGGAGTTCATGTGGATTGGGGGGATTAGCGGGCCAGCGTTGGAGGCGGAAGGTTTTGAATTGCTTAGGGTGCCCTTTTTTGTCCGTGGCAAGGTCTAGTTACTGGATTCAAAAAGGCAACCCATATGACATGTGTTAAGATCCCGTCCCTGCAGCGAAAGCTTCCAAAGCTGAGAAGCACTTCTCCCGTGGTTGATAAAACGTCCGGAAAATGGACACTCCACATTGGAGCCGCGCTGCGGAACGTGGACATAGACAGTTTGTGCACACTCCTTGCTCTACCAATCACATGTGTAATCTTGTGCAGTTACAGAACTATTTGTACATATGAGACTCCACATTGTGTCCATACCGCAGAGGTTGGCAGTTTGGCGCCATTTGAAGTGGCCAGCTGTTGCTGGAAACCGGTTGTGCGACAACACGACGCCAATTTGGGACTTGTCGTCGATGAAGAAGGCTTTTGCGGACCTGGACGAGGTAGCACGTTGCTTCAAGATGAACAACGCCCATGCCCCGGACCTGAGCGTGAAGGACCTGGCGGCCATCGCAGCGAAAGACTCCAAAAACAGATTCGAGTTCCTCGACATTCGCGAGGGCTCGAAAATGGAGGCGCGCGGCCTGAAGCTTTGGCCTTTCAAGATGCGTGCTGCTGCAGGACAAAGCCGACATGGGATCAAGAAAGCAGAGGACAACTACAGGTCGGCAGAGATCATTTACTGCAGCCCATCGCTCAAACCAGAGGCCAAGGCTCCCTTCACCGGGAAGCCCGTCGCGAGGCTTGAAGATGTACCAGTGTACCAGTTTTTGCCTTTCATCGAACCCGGCCAGCTTGCTGGAAGAGGATTCTCAATGAGGGCTTGATTCCTGGCGGCGAATTCGTCGGTTCTGACCGAGCTCACGTCTATCTTTCCGGGAGCCGCATCAGCGACGTTGGCTACCAAAGCGGCCTTCGAGGGAAATATCCCATTCAGCTCACTGTTGCCCTCAAAGAAGCTGTTGAAGACGGCCTGATCTTCTTCAAGAACCGCAGCGGAGGCATCATGACCATCGATGTCATCCCCCCTGAGTATATCATCCTTGTTGAGAACACCGACAACAACCAGAGCCTTTGGTCACGTGTCAGTGCCTCAGGTCTCGAGGAGGGGGGAACGCCAACGCACGAGGAGGAGAAGGGCTCGGCCACCGTCACTGGTGTGCCCGAGCCGGCCGCAAAAGCAGCGCCAAGTACTCCGACAGCGGCATCAACGCCGACCCCATCGACGGCACCAACGCCACCTCCGAAGGCGGCGCCAAAGCCACCGCCGAAGGCAGCGCCAAAGCCATCGACAAGGAGTACATCGGCACCAGCAACAGCAGAGGCGCCGCAGCAGCCTTCAACGGCTAGCCCAGCAGCATCCCCGCCTGAGCCTGCTGGGCCGCCGCCAGGTTTCAGCGAACCCATCACTGTCTCCAAGCAGCGACGTGGCCGAAAGTTGAATTTGGTGAGCATCGAGTGTCCGAAGTGCCAGAACCTGGTTCTCCATGGAATGACTACGTGCAACGTGTGCTCAGCGGAACTGGGGGGCAACACCATGTTGCCCGAGACCACAGTGACGCATTTGGCCGACCTGCGTCGCGAGCATCTCGCTCGTGCAGGTGTTGCGAAGTCGGAGAACCTCCTGAGCGAGTACATCCAGGCTGGATTGAAGCTCAGGGTCACTTCGCAAAGCGGAAGGGGGAACATCAGCCCTGAAGCCGCCCTGATTCAGGAAGCCCGCAATCGACGCCGCAGGGCCGAGAAGTGTGGATTTCAATCCATTGAAGACAGGGTCGAGCATGATGTTCAGTTCATGGAGCGCATGCTCCAAATGGGACGTGATTTCACGGCTGCGCAGAAGCAGGACTGGCTTTGCCACGTGCATCTTGCAAATCCCCCCCGCAGAAAAGCGCAGGTGAGCCTAGGCCTGGGCTATGATTCCGATCATACTCTCGCCCGCTTGGCCTACGTCGATGTAGTGCCCGAACAATATCCGGAGCCTAGGACTACATCGCTGAACAATGGTGCATCATGTACCGAGCAAATGTTCTCAGCCTGCGAGAATATTCGGAGTATGTTCGAACTCCGCAAGCTCATCGCGATCTCCTCACGTGGACAGGTGTGCATTCCATCAGTTGTGATGACGCCCTCGGCCATCTTCGCCACCTTTGCCACGAAAGCCACGCAGCCGCACGTAACGATGTCATCAGCAAGCTGAACCAAGAGCAGCGCCAGCGGCAGGGCAAGGGCAAGAGGAAGTCCCACACCGATGAAGGAGCTCCCACCAGCAAGGCAAAGGGAGCCCAGCCACCATCATCGGTGAGCCCAACGGCGGCAGCAGGATCTTCTTCCTCATCCTCGTGGGGATGGAGCTCATGGAGCTGGAGCCAATGGGAGGAGCCGCGGCAGTGGGGCCGAGGCTCATGGGACTGGAGCTCGAGTCAGAGCTGGGGGCGATGGAGCTAGTTGAGCCAAGTCTCAAGGATGTCATGCAGACTATACCTTTTGCAGCTCGCGGCCCAAAGCAGGTGTTGCAGCTTAACGGCTGTTTCTATATTCACCTCCAAGTCCCCTCTGAACCGGGGCGAACATCTCCCACTTTCCATTTCTACCCCCTATCAGCGTGGCTGCGATGTCAACTTCACCCCATGAAATTAATCTTTGCGCGATGTTGCCCCACCACCTCCTCTTGCACGCCAAGTCTTTGCCTGGGCCTACCCCGAGGGCACCCCCTAAGCCAGAGGCTGGCTTTCGTCCCCTCCCTTCTCAGGTATACATAATTATACAATCAACTCA